TCCGGGGGTTACAACTGCCTTATCACTCCCACTTCCTTTAACCGTATTGAACAAGATCGCTCGCAGCTAATTTACCCAACACAACCCATTTTCGCCCCAAACAGAGCTCTGAGAGGTGCGAAATTTACTACCAACGGCAAAGAGATATAATGAAAGCTGACGAAACTCAATAGAACACTTAGTTATATCAGATGGCAGGCTTAATGATTGTTATCATTGGCCATTTTGATGACTTCGGGTTTCACAGAGGGCAGGAATATCAAGGTGGGAAAAAGCGAAGAAGGGGAATCGAAGAGAGATTCACAGATGAAAAAGAGGCAGACACAAAGGTAGAAAGTGCTGTAGAAGTGGTGGAACATGACGTACAGTGGGGTCATGGTAGTTTGAAGTCAGAAGGTAAACCGACAATTAATAGACTTTTTTGCTGTGCTCCACGTGGATGTAAGTCTATCGCTCATCCCACTCTAGAGAACATGAGGTGACATTAACACTCACGTCTAACCCCAAAACGCCAATGCGAAATGAGACTGAAGGAAATATGCGCTGAAGTATCATGGAGGTATTTACTTTCAAATTTCAATGCCCGTCCACAATATCTTTTTTTCTGCCCCAGATCCGCTGGAAATGCACAGCAATCTATCTGTTTGCCAAGACAAAGTCATTCTTAGCAGAGTTGAAATGCTGCCGGAATCAACACAAACGCAATGCCCTTGAGACACACCCACGCATTTTTATGGTATTAAACTGGGTGTGTGTGTGCCAAAGTGAACTTACTAAAGCCTACACGTGGAAGCAAATAATGCACCTGTCCAATTTCTAGGACTGAAATTTGAAACCACTGAAAATGCACATCCAAAATTGAGTTCCCGAAAATGAGTTCTGATGCGTGTTTTCGCCATATATACTACCACATTTTTGATTGTAGAAGATACTCATTAAATTAATGAGGTTGTTATGACTGGGATGGAAAAATATATATTTAGCGTTATATATATGTAAGTATAGTTATATTAGAAGTTCAAAAATCAATATATTTCCTATTAGAAATATCCCCTTTACAGGAACATGATAAATTATTTGTAGCGGATTGCTACGATAGTAAAGCTTGACCGACTCAGAAATCTCTATGGCAGATCCTCCTACATCTAGCTAGACTCCCAGACCCAGCTAAGCTATAGCCCAGCTATAGAAGAAACAGACGTGTAGCACGGAGCACGTTTATTCAGGATGTATATTGCGGATCAAGTGTACACGTAGGGGGCCTAATCATGATCAGGATGGGGGATTAGGTTAAACAGAGGTTGATGATTGGTCACTGTTTGTACGGTCGCTGCACACAGAGTTGTACAGACGCACCTCCCAATCCTGGCGAACAGACATGCAGGCATACAATGACGCACACAGCGAAACGTGTCCCACATATTCTAGTTTTGACTGACTATGGCTATAATTGCCGAGATCATAAGCTACGATTATGATGATTGAAAATTTTAACA